ACTCAAAATTGGCCTTTTATAAATTTGAGGGGATGACTTCAATCTACACAGACTCAATTCGAATTCAAGTTTGGGTTCAAATGCCTCAATATCACTTAATCCACTTGCATCTCAAGCTATATTTGGCAAGCTAGTCATGCTACTCCACCTTACATGCCATCTTCAACATAATTAGAACCAGGTATTATATATCATGTTTCCTTTTAAAACGTGTAAGTATTGATTATTGATGTGTGTGAACTTATAATTATTAGTTGAGTTTCTTATTTCGTTAATTGATGTGACATTTAATGAATTATTAGCTTAAATAGGTTTAGTAAAAAAACTATAAAATGCCTCGACTGGCTTTAGGTTATGCGTATGAAAACTAGTTATAGGTTATGGGAATCTATTCTCAAGCTTCAATCATAATCAAGGGAAATAGCCCAAGTTGCAACTTTCTCTATCATTGTGCGAAAGTGCGTCACTCAACTGACAACAGTGTCACATTAGGCAATACCTATCCATCTTTAATTCAAAATCTCCTCGAACTTATTACTACTATATATTAATTACAAACCGACCTTTTTGAGTACCTTCATTGTGTATACGTTAGCACCAGCAAGAAATCAGTGTCATAATTCTACTCCTAGACTAAAGATATCAGGGCAAAAAAGAAGTGCAATGGTAGTTCTGTCAAGCAACATGTTCAAGTCGGTATCATTGTTCTCTATGTTGCTTCTTGCCCGTTCAATTTTAGGGCATAATCCTGCTCAGGTCGTCTTTATCCTAGCAGGACAGAGCAACATGGCAGGCAGGGGTGGCGTTGCCAGTGGCAAGTGGGACGGAAGTGTCCCGCCACAGTGCCAACCCAACCCTTCGATTCTCCGACTCACTGCTAACCTCACTTGGGAAGAAGCACGCGACCCCCTCCATGATGACATTGATGTGGGAAGAATTTGTGGGGTTGGACCCGGGATGGCATTTGCTAATGAGATTCGAACTCGTGGCTCGGGGATTGGCGTGTTGGGTCTGGTCCCTTGTGCTGTTGGTGGGACTGCCATAAACAAATGGGCAAGAGGGAGTCATTTGTATAATCAATTGGTGACGCGTGCCAATGAGTCAGTGAAGGATGGTGGAGCGATTCGGGCCATTTTGTGGTATCAAGGAGAGAGCGATACTGGTACTAAAGGGAATGCTGAGGCATATAAAGGGAAGTTGGAGAAGCTCATTCAGGACTTGCGCTCTGATCTAAACCTACCGTCTCTTCCATTTATCCAGGTTTTTACTTAATCAACTGGACTTGACAGATTAATTCCAGAACTTGCTCTCAATAATTTAGGGTTGTAGAATAAGTATTTCACCACAAATTTTTGAGCAGAGAACATTAATTGAATAAGGTAATTTTCCCTTAGGGTTAACAGTTGTCTATGTTTTGATTTCAGAAATTATTGATAAAGATATCCTTATTTGATAGAATAAGCATTTCACTAAAAATTCTTAAGCAGAAATCCTTGAACTTTAATGATCTTGTGCATCAACTTTCAGGTGGCACTTGCATCTGGAGAAGCATTTGTAGAGATAGTGAGAAAAGCCCAAATGGAGATCAACCTGC